AAATCAGGTCCCCAAAATTAAAAGACTCAATTCAAAAATGGGCATCTGAGATGAATACACACTTCTCACATGAAGAAATACAAATAGCAAATAAATACATGAAAAAATGTTCAACACCATTAGTCATTTGAGAAATGCAAATTAAAACAACACTGAGATTCCATCTCATGCCAGAAACAACAGCTACATCAAGAAATCAACCCATAACAAATGCTGGAGGGGCTGTGGGGAAACAAGAACTCTTGTCCACTGTTGGTGGAATGTACTCTAGTGCAACCACTGTGGAAATCAGTCTGGATATTCCTCAGTAAACCAGGATTAGAGGTCCATTCACTCGAGCTACTCCCCTCCTGGGTATTTTTCCAGAAGATCTGAAAACATCATGCCACAGCAATACATGTGCACCCACGTTTACAGCAGCACAATTTGTAATAGCTAAATCTAGGAATCAACCCAAATGTCCATCAACTGAGGAATGGATAAAAAAGATGTAGCATTTTTATACAATGAAGTATTACTCAGCTATAAAGACAGATAAACTAGAGGTTTTTATAGGTAAATGGATGCAATGAGAGACCATAGTCTTTAGTGAAATAAATCAGATTCACATGGGTAAACATCATATTTCCTCCCTACTATAAGAACCTGAAAGAGTAAATAAAATCTGAAAGGTTCAATAGATATTGTGAAAGAGAAAAGAAACTGCTCAAATAGGAAGGAGCAACTGGGATGAACGAGGGAAGAGGAAAAAGAAAGAAGGAAGAGGGAAAAATATGTATATATATACACAGGACAGCTAGAATAACTGTACTACTACTATCTGTTGGTTTATTGAAAGCAACTGTTAATGTATAATTGTTTGAGTAATCTTGCATGCCTGTATCTAGTTATATGTGCAACCATTTTGAAGATGACATTATGTAATGTAACAACCATGGTTAATATCCTATCACCATGTTTTGAAATTCTGCGTCGTTTTTATTGCTCTCTATGCTGTTTTATGTAGTTGTTTTTGTTATTTTGGTTTTTTTTTTTTTTTAAGTGAAAAACAGAATTTATAAGTATACATAAGGACACCTGGAACAGGTGTATTGCTGATGTCTGTTTTATTGAGAGGAACAGTCAATGCTTAAAATTTTCTTTTTTTCTTGACCAATTTTGCATGCTTGAATTTGGTAATCAGAATGAATGATCTGAAAACAATATGCAGTATAAGAACCACTGTTGATCTACCATTTTGTATGGTGAAGCTCTGTATCATGTCCAATGTCTTTTTTAAATTTTTTTTATTTTTTCTTGTCACTGTCTTTGAGTGTTTGATCAATCTTACATTCTTATGTCTAGTGGACTGAGTAACTTCAGTGAAGGTAACAGTATGCAATATAGCAATCATTGTAAATTTCTATCACTTTGTTTTGAGGTCATGTTTCATTTTTGTTGTTTTTGTGTTGTTCTGATTTTGTCTTCATTGTGGTTTTGTCAGTTTTTAAATTTTTAAAATAAAAAAAAGAAATTAACTGCCAACAGAGAGCTTGTAGTTTTCAAATCAACTTCAAAAATGAACACAAAATGACAATATTTCCAGGCAAATAAAATCTAAAGAATTCACTTTCAACAAATCCATACCAAAACAAAAGAGAAAATGATAAAAGAATATATAAAAATAGATTAATACTGTATTAATCTAAAGGACGCAAGAAAATGAATATAAAACACGTATTATACAGTGAGTAGATAGAAATACTAAAATGGCAAATTTAAATCCATATACAGGGCTGGGGATTTAGCTCAGCGGCACAGCACTTGCCTGGCAAGCACGAGGCTGTAAGTTCGATTCCCGGTACCAGGAAAAAAATAAATAAATAAATAAATAAATAAATAAATAAATAAATCCATATATACCAGTACTTACATTAAATAGAGACTAAAAAACTCCAATCAAGGGCTGGGGATACAGCTCAGCAGCCCAAGCGCCTACATAGCAAGCACAAGGTCCTGAGTTTGATTCCCAGTATCAAAAAAACAAAACAAAACAAGATAACTCCAATCAAACAACTAGATTATCAAACTGGACTTTTTAAAGTTCATTTTCACCTGAGATTCAATAAACACCTCAGTCTATCATTTCCTCTTAGCTGGACCTAAAGAATCAAAATATAAGGTATGGCAAATCCTAATCCATTTATCAAAAGCAAATGATAAAAATTAACAGAGACAAAAAATAAAAAATGAATTCCAGCTACAGTTTGTGGATCATCTAGAATGGCAAACCTTTCACATACATTATGTCTAAACCTGGTAGCAACTCTGCAAATATTATCCCCAGTTTACACTCAACAAACTGAGGTTCTGAGAAGTTTTATTACATTTGACCAGAATCTCAACATGGCTTTTGAAGAGGTAGAAGCCACTGTCAGTCAGTTTCCAGTATTTGTGCTTTTCAACAACAATGCTCCCTCATTAATAACTGACAACTATGTGGAAGCATTTATGTACTGCTTAGTGATTTGTAAAAGCACAAAATTAAGGAGAAAGTTACAGTCTTTTCAAAATACATAAATGACAAAAATGAGGGCCCAATAAACTTAATTTCTAAAAACAAATACACTTGGAATTTCTTAACATAATGCTCATTCAAATTTGTGCAATGGGATTACCATAGGGAGTACAAGTCTTGTGAATGTATCAGTAAAAGAAAGACCGAAGTTCTACATTGATGAAGTATGGTAATGATAGAAAGTACCTTAATTCAATTTTCCCCATTAAAAAAAATTAGTACTTTCAATTCTGCTCTGTGCAGTGAAGCCCAGGTAACTAACGTATGTGTGGCTGACACTAAGAGATTGAGCTGCAGCTAACAGCTAGGGACTGATAATGCCAAAGGCAATAATGCTCCACAAAGTATTTTTATTTTAACTGGTGAAGGGAAAAAAACAGGTAACTCTAAGTAATAAAAGGCAGAC